GGATTGCATTGAATCTATAGATTGTTTTGGGTAATATGGACATTTTAATAATGTTAATTCTTCCAATCCATGAACAGGGTATGTGCTTCCACTTTTTTATATCTTCCTCTATTTCTTTATTCAATGTCCTGTAGTTTTCTGAGAATAGGTCCTTTATTTATTTGGTTAAGTTTATTCCTAGGTATCTTAATATTTTTGCCACAATTTTAAATGGGATTGTTTTCTTAGTATCTCTTTCTGTGAGTTCATCATTGGTGTATAAGAATGTCATCGATTTCTTGACATTAATTTTGTATCCTGCTACTTTTCCAAATTCATGTATTAAATTTTGTAAATTTTTGATTCAGTCTTTGGGATTTTCTACGTATAGATCATGTCATCTGCAAATAATGACAGTTTCACTTCCTTCTTTCCAATTTGGATCCCTTTTATTTTTTCTTCCTGTCTGATTGCCGTGACTAAGAGTTCCAGTACAATGTTAAATAAGAGTGACGATAGTGGGCATCCTTGCGTTGTTCCTGTTCTTAAGGAAAATGCTTTTAGTTTTTGCCCATTGAGTATGATGTTGGCTGTTGGTCTTTCATATATGGCCTTTATGATATTGAGATATGATCCCTCTATTCCCACATTGTTGAGCATTTTTATCAGAAATGGATGCTGGATTTTGTCAAAGGCTTTTTCAGCATCTATTGATATGATCATGTGGTTTTTATTCTTCATTTTATTTACATGGTATATCACGTTTATTGATTTGCGAATATTGTACCAGCCTTGCATGTATGGGATGAATCCAAGTTGGTCATAGTGGATAATTTTTTTGGTGCATTGCTGGATTTGATTTGCTAGTACTTTGTTCAGGATTTTGGCATCTATGTTCATGAGGGATATTGGCCTGTAGATTTCTTTCTGTGCAGTGTCTTTTTCTGGTTTTGGAATTAGAATTATGCTGGCTTCATAAAACGAGTTTGGAGGACTTCCTTCTTGAATTTTTTGAAATAGTTTGAGGAGAATGGGTGTTAGTTGTTCTTTGAATGTTTGGTAAAACTCCCCCATGAAGCCATCTGGGCCTGGGCTTTTGTTTGCTGGGAGAGTCTTGATTACCTTTTCAATTTCCTTGGTTGTCATTGGTCTGTACAAGTTTTCAAACGCTTCCTGGTCCAGTTTTGGGAGACTATGTTTCTAGAAATTTGTCCATTTTGCTTAGATTGTCGAATATGTTGCCATATAATTGTTCATATTAGTTGTTAACGATCTTTTGTATTTCTGTGGTGTCAGTTGTTACTTCTCTTTCATTTCTTATTTTGTGTATTTGGGTCTCTGTCTTTGTTTCTTGGTGAGTCTAGCTAAGGGTCCATCAATCTTGTTAATCTTTTCAAAAAACCAGCTCTTTGTTTCATTGATCCTTCGAATTGTTTTTTTGGACTCTATGTCATTTATTTCTGCTCTGATCTTTACTATTTTCTTTGTTCTACTTGCTCTGGGGTTTTATTTATTTATTTATTTTTGCTCTCTAGTTATTTATGTTGTGAGGTTAGATAGTCTATTAGAGATTTTTCTTGTTTGTTGAGGTAGGCCTATAGTGCTATGAACTTCCCTCTCAGAACTGCTTTCGCTACATCCCATAGATTTTGTGCTGTTGTGTCTTCATTTTCATTGGTTTCCAAGAAGTTTTTAATTTCTTCCTTGATCTCCTCAGTAACCCATTCATTGTTTAATAACATGCTATTTAGCTTCCATGTGTTCAAATGTCTTTGTATCTTCTTCTTGCAATTGATTTCTAGTTTCATGCCATTGTGATCTGAGAAGATGCTTGATATGATTTCAGTCTTCTTGAACATGTAGAGACTTAGTTTGTGCCCTAACATGTGGTCTATCTTTGAGAATGTCCCATGTGCACTTGAGGAGAATGTGAATTCTATAGTTTTCTATAGATATCTGTAGAATGTGAATTCTATAGTTTTTTAATAGATATCTGTAGATATCTATTAAATCTATTTGATCTAGTGCTTCATTTAGAGTCTCTGTTTCCTTGCTAGGTTTTTGTCTAGAGGATCTATTCAGTGATATCAGTGGGGTTTGAAGTCCCCTGCTATGATTGTATTGCTATCGATTTCTCCTTTGAAGTACTCCAGAAGATTTCTGATATATTTTGGTGCTCCTATATTGGGTGCATATTTGTTTATGAAGGTTACATCTTCCTGTTGGATAGATCCTTTCAATACTATGTAGTGGCCTTCTTTGTCTCTAGTTATGGCCTTCATTTTGAAATCTATTTTATTAGATATGAGTATTGCTACCCCAGCTTTTTTTTCTTTTCATTTGCTTGGGGAAGATTTTTTTCTATCCCTTCACTTTCAACCTATGTGAGTCTTTTGTTGGGAGGTGGGTCTCCTGTAAACAACATATAGATGAATCATGCTTTCTTATCCAATCAGCTACTCTGTGTCTTTTTATGGGAGCTTTCAATCCATTTACATTTAAGGTGATTATTGATATGTACTTATTTATTGCCATTTTTGCTTAGTGTGGTTCTATTTTTCTTCCTATTTCTCCTGCTAATTACAGCAGTCCGTTTAACATTTCTTGCAATGTTGGTTTGGTGCTAATGTATTACCTTAGCCCCCCCTTTTTTTTTTTGTCTGAGAAGCTCTGTATTTGACCTTCTATTTTGAATGATAGCCTAGTTGGGTAGAGTAGTCTTGGATTCAGATTCTTGTTTTTCATGACTTTGATTACCTCATGCCATTCCCTTCTGGCCTGTAGTGTTTCTTGTGAGAAGTCAGCTGAGAGCCTTATGGGGTTTCCTTTGTAGGTAACCTGTTTCTTGTCTCTTGCTGCTTTTAGGATTCTCTCTTTGTCTTTAATTTTTTGCATTTTAATTACTATGTGTCTTGGTGTGGACCTGTTTGGGTTCTTCTTACTTGGGGCTCTCTGTGCTTCTTGAACTTGAATGCCTTCTTCCTTCACCAAATTAGGGACGTTTTCTGTCACTATTTCTTTGAATATATTCTCTAACCTTTGCTCATTTTCTTCTTCTTCGGGGACTCCTATGATGTGAATATTATTACTTTTCCTGTTGTCCCACAGTTCTCTTAAGCTGTCTTCCTGTTTTTTTAATCGTTTTTTCCTTTTGGTTTCCTGATTGGTTGAATTTTTCTACCTTGTCTTCTAATTTGCTTATCTGGTCCTCTGCTTCCTCTACTGTGCTCTTTAGACCTCCTAATGTGTTCTTATTTCTGATATGTCACTCGTATTCTCTTCTTGGTGGGTTTTAATTTCTAAGTGGTTTATTTTCAGCATATCTATGTCCTTACTCATGCTGTTGAGCTTCCTCAAGATCATGGCTCTGAATTCTAGTTCTGTTAACATGCCTAACTGCTCCACATTGATATCATCTTCGGTGGAGGTCTCTTGTTCTTTCATTTGGCTTTTGTTTCTGTTTTCACCGTTTTGGCTATCACAGTTGGCTTTGGAGCCTGCCAAGTTTTCCCTGTGTGTGTTTGTGTTCTGCTGTTTGTGGCTCCCTCTCTTGGGTTTAGATGAGCGAGGGAGGACCCACATGAAACACCACTGTCAAGTCTTACTTTCCTGGTTAGAGTTGCTAGCCCAGGAAAGGTACTATTTTCCTCTAGCTTTTTTTTCTGGAGGCTAGCAGTCCAGGTTACTTGAAGAGTTTTGGGTTGTCAGTTGATTGAAAAACTCCCTCAGATGCTGGCATAAGGGGATTTCATGAGGGTGAGGCAGATGGTGGTTGTTAGTAAGCCTCAATTTGCATTGCAATGGCCAACAGGGTGGGGTTGTATCTCCAAAGGAGGGGCTGCTGCCTCTATCCAGAGCCCTGGGAAGGAGCAGTATGGCCACCGTCCTGTGTGGCTGCAACTCAGCAAAATCTCTGAGCGCCCTCCAAATCCCGCGTTTCCATGCACAGTTCCAGTCTAGTCTACCTTCCCTCTGCCGAAGCCCAATGTGAGTGGCTGTGGCTATTTTCACCTCTGTCTGGGCTGTGGAGCCACTTGGGAGTTTAACCTGAGGTTGCTGCTCACAGCTAAGGCTGCTGCTGAGCTGCCGACTGTGGGCTCCCAGTCCCTGTCTCGTGCCTTCGCAATCCTACCAGGATCACGTCAGTGTCCCTGGTTATATGGTCCTTGCAAGCTGCTTTTCTGTTGCTTTTTCCTGTTGATTTGTCTGTGTTTTAGTTGTAATTCCTGTTTGGTCCTGGGAGATGGTCTGTGTAGCTTCCATTAACTCCACTGCCATTTTGGAATCCACCACGACTTACTTTTCTTACCACACTGAACTAGAAAAACCAAGGTTGCGCCAAGTGTGACTAGGTATAGGACTTCCATAGTTTCCATGATAGAAGACCTTTTTAACATACCCTTTTATATGGCTGTGGTCATTGATTTGGGTAATACTCCCTGCCTCTCCTCCCCACCCCAAGTCCCTGTAGAATCAGTTAGCTAGTTTCCAAGTTGAATGCTAAACTAATCTCTGAAGTACACTGATGTTGGAAAAGTGCCCTTGCTGCACTGACAAAGTCTATAGCCATGTCTGAAATGGACATTCTGCAAGCAGGTAAGAGTGTGCAGAGTGACATGTGACAACCAATAGCAAAGAACATACATGATGAAAATTCTGAGCTGCTGCTTTTTGAAATGCATCAGTTCAATTTGTTGAGGCCACGCTCCCATGTTCTTCTCCCAACCAATGATTGAACTTGATAAAGATAAGGCAAGCATTCTGGGGCGACCTCTACTGAACTCCTCTGACAGCCAGCTCTGGCTTGAGAATTCCCCAACAGTCTTGCTGATCCTTCCTTACATTGCATAGGTCTTCCTTAAACTGTGTGATCCTCGAATGCTTCTATTCATTTTTTTTTCTTCTCTCCTTCACTTGGGGTCAGATTTGGTTTATTGTCTGACAGGTATCTTAGCCTTTTTATTTTTCTCTCCATTTTTTATACAGCCGTTTTCCTTCTAATAAAATTTTTGCATATTTAGTCCTGTCTTGGCATCTGCTTTTCAGAAGATCCAGATTAAAACAAGTATTAATGAGAGTACAATTTGTAAGCTGCTAGGTAGTAAGATGTGGATTTGGTTTGGTTCACCTAATCCTGCAATAATGAGGACAGGATCCTTGTTGGAAGGAGGGATGCAGCTAGTTCCTACCACAAAGTGGCAGTACAATTCTAAAAACTGTATGACAATGAAAAAAACTGTCCCAGTAGAAGGGAATGTTGTTGTAGATGCAATAAAGCAGTCATTTAAAGTGGCATCAGCTGGTTACTGTTGTTTTACTGATGCCCTTCAGAAGGATAATAAGAAATTGATGGTTAATAACAAGCAGTTACTGGTTATATTTGAGAACCAGATAGTCTGAGTAGAATCAGGGAACAGAAATCATAAAGTAATTTAAATAAGAGAAGTTGAATAATAAGCTACAATAGAAGAGTAATTATAATGACATAAAGAGAACACCACACGTACCCTAGGTCTGAGGATAATAACCAAAAAAGTATACATTTGAATGGGTGGCCACCCTCCAAGGCTGGAGTTCAGACCTCATTGGACAAGGTGTGACTTACGTCTACTTGACCACTAAGCCAGAGCTGGCCCAGACATTGGGAAAGCAGAAATCATACTTCCAGCTAGTATTGCTGAGAGAATCAGTGCCACTTCAAGTGCAAGTGCTGGAGTGCACAGTGTACAAGCCAGGATGGGCACAGGTAAGTCACAGTTGTTGTAAGGTGCCCAGAGTGTGGTGGGTTGGAGCAAGGCCTGAGGTACATGATGTCCATGTCAGCAGGATCATGAGAATGTGGATACTGGGTCCAGGCCGGGCCAGGCCTGTGAGTTCACTGAAAGTCAACATACTCTGGCATATGAGCACATGGAGTACAGCCAGCACCACAGGATGTTTTCACCTATTGGCACTGCTAATTGCCAATGTAGCAGGAATAAGCAAAAGCACAATGCATACCCAGGGAGTCTCTTGTTTCTCCAATATCCCTCTGGAGCCCTGTACTGGCAAATTTTAGCATTGGCCTCACTGTAATGGAGAAAATGTCTAGAGTTCAATCCATATTGCAGAACAGATAGTGAATAATGAATTTGGATTTGAGAGGCAACAAATTCATGACTTGCATATGACCAGCTGAAAGCAAAGGAAATAACCTAAATTTGGCCTGGTCTTCTGGTTATGGATACGAGGGGTTCTGGGATAGAGCATGTGGATGGACATAGAGGAGTGAGCACAAAGTCTGAAGGTTTTTGTATTACATGCTAATGCCCACTAGAAAGCACCCACCATAGGAAAGGCAGTGAGCAAGTGAGTAGACAAAATGACTTGGTCAGTTGACTTTAGTCAACCATTATTATTGTCTTCCCCAGGAGTGTCATGATGGGCATATAAATGGCATGGCTATGGTTGCTCTGTATAAGCCTAATGGCATAAACTTCCACTTATTGAAACAGATCTAATTACTTCTGCCACTGAATTTCAGAGGCAGAAACTATTATTGCACTGCGCACATGCATGCACACACACACACACACACACAAATACACACATTTTTTTTTTAAAGGAAAGCAACTGTCACTTGATGGCGAGATGATCATATCTGACCTTCCATCCTAGAAGGGCCAAAGTTTTGTTCTGTTAGGAAGAGATACATATTCAGTTATCGCTTCACCTTTCCTACCTGAAGAGGCATAGGCAGCACTATTATATATGGGATTTCTGATACAATCATTAATATATTGGAGTTCATAGGCATAGAATACCACATAACATAGAATCTGACCAAGGAACCCACTTCGCAGTGAAGGTGGTATGGGAGCAAGCCCATGACCATGACATCCACTTATTGTTTCTCATAATTTACCTCCTAGCCTCATAGAACTCTTGAATAGCTTTCTAATAGGTGAAATGAAGCAATAGTTTGAAGGAGGTATTTGAAAACAATGGAATGATATCTGTGATGGTTCATTTTATGTGTCAATTTGACTGAGCTATATGCCCAGATAGATGGTAAAACATTATTTCTTGGTATGTCTGTGAGTGTGTTTTTAGAAGAGATTAGTATTTAAGTTGGTGAACTGAGTAAAGCTGATACCCCTGCACAAAATGGGTGGGCATCATCCTGTTCATTGAGGACATAAATAGAACAAAAAGGTGGAGAAAGGGTGATTCACTCTTTGCTTGAACTGAGACATTCATCTTCTCTTGTCTTCGGACATCAGTGCTCCTGATTCTTGGGCTTTCAGATTCAGATTGAGGGCATACAAAATCAGTACCAGATTTTCTGGACTTCAGACTCAGACTGATTATACCACCAGCTTTCCTGGTTCTCAAACTTGCAGATGGCTGATGATGGGACTTCTTGGCTTCCATGAACACAAGAGCAAATTTCTAAAATAAATATTCTCTCTCTCTCTCTCTCTCTCTCTCTCTCTCTCTCTCTCTCTCTCATCTATCTATCTATCATCTATCATCTGTCTATCTAATCTATCATTTTCTATCATATCCATCCATCCATCCATCCATCCATCCATCCATCCACCCATCATCTATTTTCTATTGGTTCTGCTTTTCTAGAAAATCCTGACAAATACAATATCCTTAGCATGCAGTACAGGGTGGGGGCAAAAGTAGAAAAATTTACTATAGATAAAAATAAAAGAATATACTATTTCATGTACTCACAACTGTAAACCTACTTTTGGCTCACCCTGTATATTTATTAATTCAGGCATCCCTAAGGTGTCACTAATAGGAAGGACTCATGGGTCCAGGAAAAGAGGGATAGAAGCAGAAGTGGCCCCATTTACTTTTGCACCACCAACCACAGAACCTGTCTTCACAGAGCATTTCCTCCAGGACATTCTATTTTCGTACTACATTCACTACCAAGTACGTATGGAAACCAGGGCAAAAATGCACTTTACACCTGTAAATCTCAAACTGTCTTCGCTGGCCTCTCTTTTCTCCCTGCCTCAAATATTTATATATGCTTTGTGTCCATAACAATATTTTCATTTATCGTCCATTGAAAGTTTTTGGGAAATTGCTACAGCATATGTCATGCCGGTATTCTACAGTGCACTCTTACTCTATCACAAACTGTTTTTTTCCCCCTTGCACATTGTCACACAGTTAAAAAAATTTGTGTAGCTGATTCATTAGATAGTTCAACAGATATTTATTCACTCAACCTGTTTTTATGAAGTACTTATTACATGCTAGACATTGATCTAGATAGAGTGAAAGAATAGAAATTAAAAGAAAATAAAGATATCCCTGCTCTATGTAGCTTACATTTGAATTTGGAAAATATTACAATCTTTACTATATTGTGTTCCATAGTAAACAATGCTTCTTAACATCTGAACTACTATTTTTATCACTCTCAAAACCTTAAATCTTTTGGCAAAATATTTCTACCTTTTGTACTTTTCAAAAAAGTTAATAGATCATTAATTTAATGTTTTATTTCTGTGTCTTTCAAAGTGTTAATATCTTTTTTACTTTTATATTTTATTTTCTAATCACTCCTTTTTATCCACCTTCACCCTTGTTAAGTTTCTTGCTACCTAACTGCACTTGTCTTTGGCCCTGCTAAAAATATCTGCATCACTTTGCTTTAGAATTTTCTGCATTATGGTTTCTGCCCCTGTTGTTCTGCCAGCTTCCAGCAAGGTGTTTGGAGATCAGAAAAATGAACTGCTCAGATCCCTCTTTAGGAAAAGATTTGCTACCTAAGAAGTAGTGTGGTTAACTGACAGCTTCAAGTCTTAGCTGTTTTGCGGTCTGCCTCAGCCATCTCCATGATCAATTGTGGGTGCCTCAGTTCAATTACTGAGCAAGCCAGCAGTACAATGTCCTAAACTTTGTCTCCTTTAATAAACAGTCTTTGCTCTGGTGCTTCCTTGCTATGGAGCAACCTGTCTAGGTTGGCAGAAATTTTGTTAGGTCTTTCTCACTGTCCTAGGTTCCATTTACCCAATGTTGTTTTCCTCTTTTTTTTCACAGACATTAAAAGAAACATTCTAAGAAAACTTTTTTCTCTGTAACTCTTCCTCAGCACCTGATTCCTAGAGAACATAATGGGGATCTTATGGACTCATTCATTACCACCAAAGCAATAATCACTTTCTCAGTTCTTATTCTACTTGATCTCTGAGATGCATTTGGAGATCTTGACTAATATTTCATTGTGAATTCTATTTTAATTAATTAATTAAAATTCTCACTCGAGGATATTTTTTTCATTTATCTTCAGACAGAGTGGAAGGGAGGGAGGAAAGGAGAAAGAGAAAGAGAGAGAGAGAGAGAGAGAGAGAGAGAGAGAGAGAGAGAGAGAAACATCAATGTGGAGGGACACATCGACTGCAGGACCCCTACCAGGGCGGAGGATGAACCACAATTGAGGTACGTGCCCTTGATCTGAATCGAACCTGCGACTCTTTGGTCCTCGGGCTGATGCTCTAACTGCTGAGCCAAACCAGCCAGTGCTCTGCTTTATTTTTTATCACCATATTACCATCGTAACATTTGATCATTTCATCTTCCATCTGGATTCTTTGTCTTAATCCCCAAAACTTCTGTATTGCCCATAATTCTTTAGGTCTTCTTTTTCTTTCCTTATGTTGTTTCCTCTTAGATGCTCTTATTCACTCTTTTTCCCTTAATGTTACTTTTTTTTTTTTTTATTCTCACCAGAGGCTTTTTTCCCCTCTTATTATCAGATAGAGTGGGAGGGAGAGACAGAGAGAAACATTGACATGATAAAGCCACATCACTGATTGATTGCCTCCCGCATGATTGAACATGGCCAAGAACTAACCGCAACCGAGGTACATGCCCTTGACCGGAATCAAAGCCGGGACTCACTGGTCTGCTGGTCAATGCTCTAACTGCTGAGCCAAACCAGGCAGGGCCCTTAATGTTACTTTTAAATGTGCTCAGAAATCTGTATTTTTCAACTCAAATTTGTTGTACCAGACTCATATTTTCCACTCCTGTAATATTCTATACCAGCTCTTGAACAACACCTCCAATTCAATGCATCTTTAACTGAACTCATTATCTCTCATTGCCTGTTTGAATCTGCTCCTTGTAACATTGGTGCTCTCCTTTCATCACAGTTGCTTAGTCATCTTAACAATCTCATTATCTTCCATATCAAATAATTCAATAAACCATTTTCCTTCCTAAATATCTCTCAGATAGCTTTAATACTTCATTCCCCTCACCCAGTCTTTTTTTTTTTTTGCATTTATGTTCAGATAGAGCAGGAAGGAAGAGAGAGAGAGAGAAACATCGATGTGAGAGAGACACATCCACCGGTTGCCACCCATACAACCCCAACCGGGCCGGGGATAAACTACAACTGTGGTATAAGCTCTTAGAGGGAACCAAACCCGAGACTCTGGTCCGCAGGCTGACGCTCTAAACGTTGAGCCAAACCGGCCTAAGACCCCACCCATTCTTTTTATTTTTTATTCTCATGTGAGGACATTCTTCCATTTTTTGTTCAGATAGAGTGGAAGAGAGAGAGAGAGAAACATCGACTTGAAAAGAACACATCAAGTGGCCGTCACCCGCACAACCAACCAGGGCCGGGGACAAACCGCAACTGAGGCACGCACCCCCAGCGGGAACCAAACCCAAGTTTCTCTGGACCACAGGCTGATGCTCCAACGCCGAGCAAAATCGACCAGGGCTCTCCCCACCCACTCTTTACTCCTGAGGAGGTAGACAGTACTGCCCTAACCTATAGAAAATTCCCCTTAATGCAGTTGTTGCTTCCAGTCCTTATCATTTCAATCCCACCATCTCCAGACTACTGCAAGTTATCATTCTGACACAAAAATCTATTATGCAGCTCTGGCCAGTTGGTTGAGTGTCCTTCCATGAAGTGGCTGGTTCGATTCCTGGTCAGGGCATATACCCAGGTTGTGAGTTCACTCCCCAGTTGGAGTATGTGCAGGAGGCAAGTGTTTGATGTTTCTCTCACTTGATGTTTCTCTCGCTAAAATCAATTTTAAAAAAACTTTAAAAAATCTATCACTTTTTTCACTTAAATTTTTTGTGGAATTTTAAATTATTTAAGAAATGGATTCTGAAATGCACTAACATCCATATAAATCATTGACTTATCCAAATCAAATGTCACATCTACTCTTTAACTTCACTTGATATCTGTATAGAAAACAGAATTAACTTGGCTTTATTCCCAGAGACCTTTGAAATTCTCTCTAACAAGGAATTTTACTTTTAGTTGTGGCATCACTTGTACATGTCTAATTTTCTGTTACTCTCTGATGTACTTGGAAATAGGGATAGTGTCACATGTATTTTGATATCAACCTAGTCCCAGTCTTACAGTAAGCAAGTAAAAACAATTGTTTATATATATACAGATGATTTGAATGCCTATCAATCATGCTAATTAAAAACTGAGCAGTTATTACCAATCATGAAAATAAAGTGATAAATTTAAATAATAAAAATACATATTTCACCTTTTGGTTACTTGACTGAACAATAGAAAGTTTTAGTAGAACCATGAATAACTTTTAATATTTATCATGCCTTCAGTGACATATAGTAGACTTCAAAAATCTGATCAGGTTTTAGACAATCAGAAAGACATTTTATTTTAAGAACAGCATAATTAATCTTGATATGTGAAATCTATTAAAGTGATATAATTTGGCCAAGAGATAAAAATACTAATTTTTATAGTATATAAAAGTATTCAAATAAATGAGTATAGTATACAACATGCATCACAACAAAACTAAGTAATTAGGCTGTAAATGTGTTAGTGAAATACTGTATACAGAACTGGCTATTTAAAAGTAGAATTTTCTTGTGCTATTATTTGGTACTTGTACAAACATTTTATTTGATAAATCACACTACAATGATTTATAAAAAGCATGAAAAAATATTTTTATAAAAGCCTAGCCTTACCCATTGTTCTATTTTGTTTCTTTTTACACATTGGGAAAACACAATCATTTGATTTTGTGTATAGATATTGCATATAAGGAATGCAAGCAAAAGTGCTCCATGGAAAAATGACTTAACTGTCTGTCAAAAAAGTCCTTGCAAAATTAAAGTTTTGCAAGTCACTAACCTGCATATTAAGCCATCAAATGAAAACTTTTTTCAAGTGAATTCCATTGCCTTTCCAGTGTGAACTTCACACTGATGAGGGGAAATGTTTATATTTAACTTATATTTAGTCTGCTTAGCTACATAAATCAAATTATACACAAATGGTAAATAATGAGATTATAAAATTGTTTTTATAATGTCACTTCATAATTGTGATTTTTTTTTTCTGCCTGATACTTAAATTGTAACTCCATACTGGGGCATTAAAATGAATACATACACACATTTTATGTTTAGCTTTTTATTTAGTTTGTTTGACAAAAGATTTTTCTAAGAAAGAAACTTACTGGAAGAATTGATTTATATTTGTTTTTAAAAACATCTCTTTATACTCGTGAGTGCATGTGTATTTGTTTAGACCTAAGACTTAAGTAGAAATCAGGTAGGTAAAATAGGCAATTGTCTGCTACTAAATATACCGTCAGTTTTTATTGTGTTTTTCATTCACTAAAGTAATTCAGCCATTGTACTGGAAAGTTATTGCCACCAATATGAAGAGTTCACCACCAATAGCCTGCTTCCAGAGGAGGAAGTGCCTTTATAATCTTATATGAGCCCCCAGGGCCTTTACAACATCAACCTTGGGAAAATAAGCATGTGGAGGGAGGCAGCTCCCTAGAGCGGCAAGACCGGTGGGCGGGGCCATCTGGGGTGGGCGGGGCCGAACAGCCACTTGCACTGCAGTCCTTCTGGCCTGCCTGGGTCCTAGCTCTGCCTGGCACGCG